CTACTGTATTCACAAATCAGTTTGTTTGTTTGTTTGTTTATTTAGATCCCCATTAGCTGCTGACATACAGTCATTACATTTTATATACATACATGTATTGTGCACATTGTTCATACATGTCCACCCCCCCCCCCCCACACACACACACACCCAACTAATTTCAACATAAAATTGCAGTATAGAAAAATCACAATTCAGTTCTCAAAAGCCCAAACATACCAAAATACATTCTTAAACCATGAAATACAGCTCACTTCGAAAGATGTTTAGCTTGACATTATCTTTGGGAAAATAAAAATATTTGGAGTTTTTTCTGAAAACATTTTTGTCACTTTCCCTCAACAGAAATCCTGGTAGTGCATTCCATTGCACCATTGCACGATAAACCAGTTTTCTGCATTTGATTTGTTCTGCATGCAGGTAACACACATCGTCCGTGCATTCTTTGTCTTGTGGAATAATCGTGTTTGTCCACAAAAAAGACAAGGTGCAATAAATTACGTCTGGGGTTTTTGTCGTAATGATATTTCTAATAAACATTGTTAATGAAAACTCCAATCTCTCTCTTACTCTTAGCCAGGTCAACCTATTGTGCAACAGACTTACTCTGGTTCTGTATGGACTCCCCAATATCATGCACGCAGCCTTGTTTTGGGCAATTTGTAACTTATCTAGATTATTTTCATTGGTGTTGGACCAAACCACAGAGGCATAATCTAAATGAGAAAGCACCAATGACGGAACTAATAGCTTTATTAATTTAAATGGAATGAATTTCCTACAATGTCTAATAATAGCCGTACTTCTTCCTATTTTTTCAAAATATAGTTAATATGATTCACCCAAGATAGTTTATTATCAACAATAACACCCAATAACTCAAACTCATCAACCTGTTAAAAAATAGTACCATCTAAGGTCAAACTAAAATTGGATTTGTTTTTAAATATGTCTAGATCCTATGACCATACATTTAGTCTTATTTGTGTTTATTATCAAGTTGTTTGTTGTGATCCATCTAGAGCCCTGCACGGGCCTAAAATCTGAGCCCGTGTCCGGCCCGGCCCGAGGGGTTGGGGCCCCAGCCCGACCCGGTCCGAAAAGGTTTTCAGGATTCTCTGGCCCGACCCGAGCCCGACTTTTTTTTAACCAACTAAATTAAAACAAAGTGTGTCAATTCTGACCAATGTGTTAAAAGACGAGCAGGATCCTATCAATTTGTTTTTCCCTCATTTACCGTCACGGAGATGACGGTGCAGGCTCTGGTGGTAATCAAGTTAAATTTGATCTCTTTCCAACAATTTTCACAAGAAAACAAAACAGTTAAAAGCAGGGCTTGTGTTGACCAGATAGTTCCCGTATTTGACCGTTTATTTTGACGGAGAAAGAATAGAAAGAATTACCCCGACACATGCAGACGAACTGACATTTTATTCGTTATGCACATTGCAGATGTAGCTAAAAGATTCCCATCTGAACATCTGAGCTGGACACTGCTCAGCGCAGCTCGCTGTCAGCGCATATGTGCACAGCGAGCTGAAGTTGTGGAGATTGGCTTGGAGCGTGTTGCAGAACCAGAGGGCATGCGGGAAGGTTCCTCCCACTGAAGCGAGTGTTTTCCAAACCCTGTCTCTCAGAGAGATTTGTCACTTAGAAAATGTTCCCTGATTATGAAACTTTGGCTGAATAGTGCTTGTTCCTGTCTCCAATGTGGCGACACATCCAGGAGCCGTCTGAGGAGAATCCCAGAATCTCACTCTTCAGCTCAGGAAGCGCCGATATGATTACGCACAAGCGTGACGGGTCAACCCGGTCTCACAGTAAGACCGGGTTGGACCTGTTCAGGTTTACGCAGACAATCTTTACATAGAATTGACTTACAGATATAAAACTAATGCAGTAAAATATAAAGCAGTTTATTTAAAAATCCATTCATTATTTTACAAGCACAGAGAGCCGCATCAGGTGGATGGAAGAGCCGCGGGTTGCCGACCCCTGCTATAGCCTATAAAATGACATGTTGAGGACGCAAACTCAATACATCTCTTTTATTGTGAGGTAATAATTTCTCCGAGTTTTGCTGTTGCGGGCGGGAGTAGACATGCACGCTGCAGGTGCGGGCGGGAGTAGACATGCACGCTGCAGGTGCGGGCGGGAGTAGACATGCACGCTGCAGGTGCGGGCGGGAGTGTAACACACACGTTGCGGTTGCGGGCGGTAATTGTCAGACATTCAGCGGGAGCGGGATGAAGAAAACAGTCCTGCGCAGGACCTGTCTCCTTAGACGAGTTATCAGATATTGTCCATCGTTTAAAACCTTCAGTCTGTCCACTTGATGTTATTCCACCTCGTATGTTTAAGCTGGCCTTTGACAGTGTTGCTTCAGCTGTGCACAGACTAATTAACTGTTCTCTTCTCTCAGGGTGTGTTCCGCTGTGTTTTAAACAGGCTATAGTGAATCCCCTTTTAAAGAAGCCAAGCCTGGACGCAACTTGCCTATCTAATTACAGACCTATTTCCAAACTTAGTTTCTTATCAGAAGTTCTGGAGAAAGTTGTTCATGCACAGCTACAGGATTATCTGTCCATACATCACATTTCAGACAAATTTCAGTCGGGGTTTAAAGCACGGTATAGCACTTAAAGTGCACTTCTACGAGTGGTGAATGACTTATTAATGATCACTGATTCTGGCAACTCAGCTGCTTAAATGCTGCTAGACTTATCTGCTGCTTTTGACACCATTGATCATGATATTCTGTTGTCTCGATTAGAGTCTTGTGTTGGTATAAGGGGCACAGTGCTTGATTAGTTTCAGTCTTATCTACAGGACAGGTCTTTTTCTGTGAACTTGGGAACTTTTACATCGCCACCAGCACCTGTGACTTGTGGTGTTCCACAAGGTTCCATTTTAGGGACAACACTTTTCTCACTGTATATTTTACATTGTCCTCTATCTTCGCCAAACACAACATTACTTTTCATTGCTTTGCTGATGACCTTCAGATATATCTCCCACTCATCCCAGATTCAGCTGTTTCCTTAATGGCCTGCTTAGCTGATTTTAAGCAATGGATGTCAATTAATTTTATGAAATTGAATGGCCTGAAGACAGAGATTTTAGTTTTTGGCAGTGGAGACTTGTTAAAGGGTGCGGTGAGCCCACTCAGTTCCCTTTCGGATTTTGTAAAGCCTTATGTGAGAAACCAGTTTTTTTTATGGATGGTTCGTTTAAATTGGACAGACAGATAAGTGCAGTGGTCCAGTCTGGTTTTTATCACTTGAGGCAACTTGCAAAGGTTAAGTGCTATTTGCCGGAAACTCTTTGAACATGTTATTCATCTCTTTTTCTCCTGTTGACTAGATTACTGCAATTCACTGTACTATGGATTAGGGCATTCCTCCTTAAACTGCTTGCAACTGGTGCAAAATGCAGCAGACCGCCTTTTAACAGGTACAAGGAAGCATGATCACATCTCTCCAGTGCTTGCTTCCCTTCACTGGCTGCCAGTGCATTACAGGATTCAGTTTAAATGGTTGCTTTTTGTTTATAAATCACTTTATGGTCTGGCCCCTCCTTATATAGATGATTTATTGTCACCCTACACTCCTGCCAGGAATTTGCGGTCGGGCTCACAGTTTTTATTGTCAGCTCGCCTAAAGACGAGAGGAGATAGGGCTTTTTCTGTGGCCGGTCCTACACGCTGGAACAGTCTTCCTCTGCAGATCAGGACCTCACAAAGTCTGGATGTCTTTAAGTCCTTGCTTAAAACTCATTTATTCAACCTGGCTTTTATGTAGGATGATTTTATTTTGTCATTGTCATTCTTTCTCATTTTTATTGATTTTACAGTTGTGTGATGTAATGCTGTTTTTATCCTAACTTGCTGATTTTTTATGGTTTTATGGTTTTTAGTTATACTTTTTTGCGATTTTATCTTCTGTGTTGTACAGCATTTTGGGTTGCGGACGCAATAATAAGTGTGCTTTAGAAATAAATGTGACCTTGACCTTTGATCCATTGCAGCTTTGACAGAAAAGGCCACCATCCCTGACTCCTTTTTAAAATGAGGAATCATAAACGAAATCTGATGACTTCTGCATATGCTGTAATGAGACCTGAATGATATTAATAAAGAGGTTATATAAGATGGAAAGTTAAAATAAACACATCTAAAAATAAACAGCAGTCAGTGACACTTCTGCCTAGCTTCAATCGAGGGCCAGGACGTCTAAACGATCGAACATAAGGCAGTGGTGAGATCTAAATGCCAGACCAAACCAAATAAGCTTTTATAAATAATATCAATAGAGTGAGGCCCCAAAGAAGATCCTTGAGGAACGTTGCTCGCTAGTCCCCATTGTCTAACCTTGAACCCGTTTAAAGCAACAACAGCAGTTAAATAAAAAGAATTATTTAATCCAAGTATAGAGGTCCAAGATATAAGGCAAATGAATAAAATTTAATTCTTAATGTTTAAATGTTTATTCTGAAAAATAAAACCAGAAAAGATTTCCTTCTGGTTTAAAACGGACTGTAAAAACGGGTTTTATTTGGCTGGACACATGCACGGTGGGGTCTAGCTTATTTACTGTGCTTCCAAATCATGCATCAAATTACAACCGAGTCCAAAACATCTTACAGTTTTGACCTTTCTTCTAGAATGATTCATTTAATGAATGAAGCCTGCATGTGTCTAAAACCTGCTGATATAATCAAATGAATGCAAACTGGGGCTAACTGCCACTATGTGACTTGGTGAAATAAGATCATCTGCTGCTGCAGAATACTTTATAACATCGGCTCCAAACAGCTTATTATTCAGCTGCGTGCATCAGTTCCCTCTGAAAGCAGAACTCGGAAGATGCTGCTGCAGAATTTATTTATGGCTGAAAATGTCCCAAAATCTGAATGAAACCCCCCACAAAGCCCTTTCGGTGTATAAAATCCCTAATACCGCACATGCCGGTGAGCATCTGTGTGTTTGGTGCATCACGTACCGAATTCTGCGACAATCGAGGCCATCCCTCCGTAAATGAACGGCTTCCAGTTCAAGCTGGCCATCTCCGTGTCTGCGGCGGCCGCCTCCGCCTGCTGCAGCCCCGCTAGAAACAGGACAAACCCCAGACAGAAGTCAACACAATGCCGCAGCCTCTGTCCAGACAGCATGTCGGCAAACATTGGGCTGTGGAGATGCTACGGATCTAACAGGCTCCTCAGCATCAGCATCCCAGCACACTGCGCCGGAAAGAGACGAGCTCTACAGCAAACGCCGCAGAGAGACCCGTCATTTCTCTTACGAATTTCCTATTGGCTGCCAGGTCAATCAATCAAACTTTCCAGCGATTCTATTGGCTGAGCGGAAATATGGGGTTGACACTAGTCAGGAGCAACAGTGTCACGAGAGAAGTTACTTCTCAATAAAGCTACTTAAAACGAACAATTAACGTATTATTTCTAAAACTGGTAGGCCTTCATAGCTTTTAAGTACAGCTCAAACAAAAAAGAAGAGCATGATAATAGTGTTCATAGCAAAGATGGCTGGCATTGCAGTTGCTGGCGGTCCGCTCGAAGGCGCTAATAGGTTAACAACCACTCAGATTATACTTCAGGAAGCGGCTAGCCCGCTGGTTAGCAAGGTTACCGGTTCGTCACCGGTACTGTCGAACAAAACACAACGAACCTGTTGCGTCGAGAAGATACCCAGCCTAGTGTTTGTCGTTCTTTACCATGGCTCAAAGCATTTTTGAGCTCTGACCTCAACAAACTGCGAGCAGGAAACTTCTCGCCTGCTGTTAGCTTCCCATTTCAGCTAACGGTTACAGTAAAACTCAACAGCGTATCTGTAAACACAACTTCCGTTTATTATTATTATAAAATAAAATACCCGTCTAAAAACTTAATGGAAGCTAGGTCAGTTTGGTCATTGTGGTTTACAAATAATAAAAAAAAGGAAAAAGAATGGCTGACATGTTAAAAGTGCAATGTATGGAAAAAAGGCATTACAATGTGTTGAGGCGAGCGGTGTACTTACGTGATGGAGAGAGACGTAGAGGCTTGAATGATCCTTTCCGGACACTTTTATTATATAGCAGAGTCATAACAGGATACAACAACTGATGGCTTCTCCATCTGTGACCGTTCGCTGAGTGATTCAGATACAGCCGTTAAGTGAAACTAACTTAGTACACCGGGCTACCGTAATACAATGAGTGAGGGCACATTTCAACATTTACACAACACAATGTTTTGTTATTTTAGCGGTTGTCTTATTTTGAAACTACGACAGTCTTTCAGGTAATTTTTAAGTGTTTTTAAACAAAGTTTCTTAGACTTTTCAAGTGTTTGTGGACCTTTTTTGTTTTTACATCGGCACTGACTACTGTCTGCGGTCAAGTGAGCCGTCGTTCGTTTGTCCGTGGTTAAGTGTGCCGCACCTACAATTGAAGTGCGCAATTACATTGCACTTTACGGTAACGCTGTCCCGCTAACGCCGGGGACACTTGTATGGCGTCAGAGGCGTGCCACAACCCGTGCACGTGGATTGGGTCCACATCGCATGTGAACGGGACTCGCGAGTGAAAATATACATGGCGAGAGGTCATTTGTGCACTGAGAGGGAGCAAACTGTGTCTGTGAGCGCACAAGGACGTGCACAAGTGACAAACCTGCGCGTGCGTGTTGCCAACGAGCACACGGCAGAGGAAAACGTGCGCGCTCGGCAGCCTCTCTGCGCGCTCGGTTTCTGACTCTGCTCGCTTGGCTGAAAGGGGTTTTGGCACTCTGGAGGCGTGGCCTGTGGCAGATCTTCTCTGTCCTCTGATTGGTTAGTTTACCCCGCACTTTACCCTCTACCTATTTATATAAAAAAATCTGATATTCAGTAGTTGCTGTCATAGCTCAGCTGGGAGAGCGGGTGGCGCTCCCCCTGGAGGATCCAGGTTCGAGTCCGGGCAAGGAAAATAGAGTAGATGTCGTGTTGTTTTTTCCTAATTCCTGTGATATTATTTTACAGTTGTGACCGTTCAACTGTCATTAAACGTCCGAATGTTTGCTGGGCAGTGTTTTAAAAAGTGCACATAAGCTAGATGGTTTTAACCATATAAAATTACATTTTTTGTGATACTGGAAAAATACATACTGAAATAAAACTACTGATTGAAAACTTTGACTGTGGTTGTACAATATATGAATCACTAATACACTGCAAACGCCCTTAGAGTGGGGCTTCCAGAGAGAGAGAGAGAGAGAGAGAGAGAGAGAGAGAGAGAGAGAGAGAGAGAGAGAATTTGTATTCTGTCAAAGTTGTAATATTACTTCAGCCACTCTCCAGATAAAAATAGACTTGTGGGTGTAGGTATGTTCAAGTTTTAAAAGTTCTTGCCACATTAATGTATTGTTTATTTTTTTCAGCATTTAATTGACAAATTATCCTTTCAAATAATTAATTGATGAGTTACATAATTGTCCATTAGAATTGTTGAATGGACTGAGTCAAGTTTGGTGCACTTTATATATTTCAAAACATGTTTTATTTTATTTTAATGATGCATATAAATAATTTAAATGTTAATTTAATGAAATATTTCTATTTTTTCATTACCTCACCCTTGTTTTGACAAAAACAAGACCTTGCTGGATAGTATCATGGAGAAACTATTTGTTCACAGTACTTGGCTCAGTGAGGATCTGTATACCAAAGGAGGAGATACTCAGAAATCTGTCTGCAGATTGTTACAACCCAGACTGGAAGTGGTGGGCTGTAATAAGAAAGGAGACCAAACAGAGGAGTGGGGGGTTCAACAACTGATTTATTTAACAAAAGTAAGGATTTACTAAAGCAAGTTAGTGAACAGAAAATGGCCATCTCAAGGTTTTACTCGGATGTCCCTCAGCAGGGTGCAGCACTGTTGAAGGTCATCTGAATGAAAGCTTGATATGCAGTTTCTTTATGAAAGTGTGTAAATATACAGTATGGTTGCCGTACATATGTTGAGGTTCTCAGACAACAGGCTTCTTTGCCCAGGCCTTCACTAGTGGGCTATTTTAAAAGTTGGTAAGGAGAAAAACCACAGCATATAGCTGATTGTTTACAAATGCAAGGAGGGGAATAACAATCAAAAAGCTTGTGTTCTTGGACCAGATGAATGGAGTGCTGAAAAAAAAACCAATACATTAATGAGGCAAGAACTTCTCTCTCTCTCTCTCTCTCTCTCTCTCTCTCTCTCTCTCTCTCTCTCTCTCTCTCTCTCTCTCTCTCTCTCTCTCTCTCTCTCTCTCTCTCTCTCTCTCTCTCTCTCTCTCTCTCTCTCTCTCTCTCTCTCTCTCTCTCTCTCTCTCTCTCTCTCTCTCTCTCTCTCTCTCTCTCTCTCTCTCTCTCTCTCTCTCTCTCTCTCTCTCTCTCTCTCTCTCTCTCTCTCTCTCTCTCTCTCTCTCTCTCTCTCTGGAAGCCCCACTCTAAGGGCGTTTGCAGTGTATTAGTGAGTCATATATTGTACAACCACAGTCATAAAGTTTTCAATCAGTAGTTTTATTTCAGTATGTATTTTTTCAGTATCACAAAAAATATAATTTTATATGGTTAAAACCATCTAGCTTATGTGCACTTTTAAAAATACTGCCCAGCAAACATTCGGACATTTAATGACAGTTGAACGGTCACAACTGTAAAATAATATCACATGAGTTAGGAAAAAATAAGATAACATCTACATTATTTACCTTGCCCGGACTCGAACCTGGATCCTCCAGGGGGAGAGTCACCCGCTCTCCCAGCTGAGCTATGACAACAACTAAAAATCAGACTTTTTTATATGCATTCACCTCTTATCATTTTGGTCCGACAGGAAGCCAATGGGCCAATGAGGTAGAGGGTAAAGTCCGGGCAAAACTAACCAATCAGAGGACAGAGAAGATCTGCCACAGGCCACGCCTCCAGAGTGCCAAAACCCCTTCACAGCCGAGCGAGCAGGAGTCAGAAACCGAGCGCGCAGAGCGGCTGCCGAGCGCGCACAGAGGCTGCCGCGCACGCAGAAAGGCTGCCGCACGCGCACGTTTTCCTCTGCCGTGTGCTCGTTGACAACGCGCGCACGCAAGTTTGTCACTTGTGCACATCCTTGTGCGCTCACAGACACAGTTTGCTCCCTCTCAGTGCACAAATGACCTCTCGCCATGTATATTTTCGCTCGCGAGTCCCGTTCACACGCGCGCTGTGGACCCAATCCGCGTGCACGGGTTGTGGCACGGGTCTGGCGCCATAAACACCGGCCGCGGAAGTGCCGCGAAGCGAATCGCTCACGAAATTCGGCCGCTGCTCGCCAACTCCAACTACCCTGAGTGTGTGTGTGTGTGTGTGTGTGTGTGTGTGTGTGTGTGTGTGTGTGTGTGTGTGTGTGTGTGTGTGTGAACCTATGGTATGAACCAGTTGTTTCTGCCAGTTGAATCTCTTGGAACCCGCTCCAATTCTGCAGCTGTATCCTAGCAGTTTCTTCCAAAATGGGTACGTAAATAATGTTTTTCGGGGGCCTTACAGCTCCTTGTTGTCACAATGGGTGTAGCTAACCGCTCTGAGTTTTCCTGTTTGCAGGTGGGTGCGCCCGGAGAGCAGCTGCAGCAAATTCCCTCATCAGCTCGCAGGGGATTTAACGAGCGGTGTGACAATTCACCAGTGCTGGATAATTACTCACATTGGGTAGTTTACTACAGCTCTAGACCTGTTTCGGATAATTCTGCATCCTGTTCTGCCTGTTTTAAGCCTCGTCATCATCTGTCCCGTTCCTCCATTCTCCCGCCCAGGTACTCTCATCATCTGCCTGTTACCAGCCCTTCAACCTGCACTCTCACCTGTTATTACAAGGAGCCTCTGGATCTCCTGTCCATCAGCCACACCGCTTCTCTTGGCCGCCTGCTCTCCTGCGCTCACCTGCCCGCTCTTGGAACCGGTGCTCAGCTCCCAGCCTCCTCCACCAGCTACCACTCAGACCTGACACGCCCTCCTCTCCGCGCTCCACTACCATCCTGGAATCCGTAAGCCTCTATTCGATCGCACCTTCCCCGTTTGCATTACATTTCTCATTCTTGTTCTCTATCTCAGAACGCTGCCAGAACCGTCCCCCTCCGACGTCTCCCCAGCCTCATCAACCTCAATAAATTATATATTATTTTTACTCGCCTTGTCTCTTTCGTGATTCTGCATGTCGTGGGTCAAAAGACTCGACCACACCATGACACTTGTGTTTCTCAACTTCCATAATTAATTTAAAGTCGTCCATCTTAATTGCTTGCCTCAGACTGTCTGCCTCTCTGTCCTGTTTGCTCCGGAAAAAAGACACCCAAAACCATACCCCCTTCACGTGGTCACACACGCACACAAGTTCTGTGTGTGTGTGTGTGTGTGTGTGTGTGTGTGTGTGTGTGTGTGTGTGCGCTCGTGTGGTTTTTCTGCAGTGTCTGATTACAAACACATTTGACTATTGCGGAATTTTAATTTGAAATGCTTTATTTTGTTAAATTTACCGGCCTGCCTCTTATGTCTAGGTTTGACTTCATGCCAGAATTGACGCGATTCACCCGCGGCTCGCGAAAAAAATTGTGCAGACTCCGAAACGATCGCTGCATGGCGCGGGCTGGAGTGCCGGCGCAAGGCTATAGAATAGCTTAACAAGGG